TTGTTCAAACGAACTCCTTCAACACGTTTTTTTTTTTTTGCACTTTCTCACTTTATGGGTTCCTGACTTAAAGCTTTTGGGGAAGACAATTTTAGTTGCAAGAAAAAAGTTCGGACTCTTTCTGGCCAGTCCACTCAGGAAGTGAGAGTTTTGCCCCCCCCCCCCCCCAACTTCATAGGATTCCAATCCCGCCCTTCCCTGACCCCCCTCCCCGATCCCATCTTGGCTGTGAAATTCTCATAGAAACCAGCGAAGCAGGACATAGAGGAAGCTTTCACGAGCTTTGGCTTCTGTGAATGCCCAACGCGTTCCCCGCAAGATTCGCCCAACAACAAAAGCCAATGTGTGTTTTGCACGATGTTCCATAAACTATCCCATGAACTCGGCGGGCTTCCTATAGAGTAGTGCCCTTTTACCCTTTTTTGGGGGAGGGTTCCCCTACTAAAATCTACAGAAAAAGTTGGTACCCTTATTCTAACCTCTCTACTGGAGGACCTAGTATAGAAATGTCCATGAGCTCTGACAAAACTCCACACCCCTTGAAGTTCGTTGCTCAGGGAGGGGAGCACCTGTATCTTCAAGAGCTGGGAGCAGCCCGGAGCCCCGAGTGTCGGTTGGGGCCCCTTGGGGCGGTGAGGCCAAGGGGCGAGGTTGGATGTGTGGGTGTTCAGGCTGCTTAGCAAGCAGGTTGTAAACATGGTGAGGGGACGAACCCCAGAAACCCCAAGTGTAGCCAGGGCAAAAACCTACTAAGTTGGTTGAACATCTAACTTGCTGGTGCAGGGAATATGCAAGGCTTTGGGCAATGCGTTCGGGATCTTCTGAAGGGAAACACATGAACGTCTAGGGCTTTAGCGACTTTATTTCACTTCCTGAGTTCCTGGACGTTCTACTTTTTGGGCTTGGACCATGTCAGTGGTAAAGAAAGAGCATGCTTAAAGCAACACACACACACACAAAGCACAGGAATTCAGAGCTTGGAAATGAACAGGAAGGGGATCTTGACAAGACACTAGAAGGGATGGTCCCTGCCTATGGAACCAGCAAGATAAGCTTCTTTCGGGGCTCCGAGTGCTTTCCTCTCAAATTTGAACGTTGGCACCCGCTTGCCCCCTTGGAGAGGATCCAGTCAGCTGGTGGGCGGGTAACATTTCACTGCATTGCCGGCAGTTAAATGGCCGCTGTCAAGATTTTGGTGTTCTTCTTGTGTTTTCGTTTTTTTTTTTTTTTGGGGGGGGGGTTTTGTTTCCCCTGTGGGTTTGTTTTGCTGAAGGTGCCCTTTAAATTTCTATGCGGGTCGATGTTCCGTATGTTTCAACCTTGTTCCGCGTTTAATTTTGGATTGGACACATTGTTTTGTTTGCCTAAAGTCCTTGAATGAATTCTGCATGTAGGTTCATCCAGTGATGCCAAGTGTCGTTTGCCAAGGGACCTTCCCTTTGGTTTTAAGAGGAACCAAAGGTCATCCTCAATACCAAAGTGGTTTGTCTCGTCCAAAAAGGAAAAGAGTTGCATCCAACTAATCAAATACCAGTTCCTCTCATGCCCATTTCAAGTGCACGTTGCTTCTTTATGGGGGCTTGCAACAAATCCCAACTTGTTATATGATATGGGAGTATTACCTCTGTGCTGGAGCAAAGTGGCTATGGAAAAGCCCCCCAGCGTTCCATCAGGTTTTCTGGTCACCCACAATTTCAGCGGTGAGGCGGTTGGGTTTGTGGCCATGGGATCCTGTCCTTTGGGCTGGTTGCCATAGCACAGACGCCGGTTGGCCGACTTTAGGTACAAACATATAGATAGTCCAGTGGCTTTCGAGAATTCCACCTGATGTGGTCGGCCAGATGTAACTCACTTGTCCCATGGGTTCCTTGGGTGTGTCTTCAAAAGAAAAACCCGTCGAAATTGGTTGCTTTCCCGATGTTCCCCCTCAAAACCACTCTAAAAAAGGGTCCTGGAGTCTCCACGACCCAGAAAAAATGGGTCATTGTTCAAAATAAAGGGGTCATGACCCCATTTTTAAAGGGTCATGACCCCATTTTCAAGGGGTCAGGGAGATTGCAGGTACCCTCGAGAAAGGGCAAGCGGGGGGTATCTGACTCGCAAGTCTCGTGAGGTGGGGCACCTGCTCGGAGCCTTGCGAGGGCGGGGTGGAGGAGCGCAAGCGCGGAGCCGGGGCCTCGCCTGGACGCGGCCCAGACTTACCTCACCTCTTTGCTCTTTGGCCCTTTTGGGCTTCCCGTCCTTTTCCCTTTCAACGAGCAAAGGATTTTTTTGTTGTTGTGGGGGTCAAAGTCGCGCCTTTCACAAACAAACAGTACCCAGCCAAGTTTCTGTGGAACCTTAGCAGAGAAATGGCCCCTTGGTTTTTGTTGAAACATAACAGTTGTTTCAGCTTTTCGCAGCCTCCTTTTCTTTCTTCCCTCAGTGGTCCAGAGTCTTGTTTGAAACCTGAGCTTGCCGGGAAGCTACCCTCAAAAGCGTACCGTGATGGGGACCCAGAGCGCGCCTTCGTTCACAATTGTCCAATTTGGGAACACATTTGCTTTGCGGTCCATTTGGGACATGGGGAACTCACTAGGCTTCCTCACCACTCACCAAATGCCCATATGCTCTAAACAAATTCACACATGGCGTGACCGAAGCCCCCCTTAGACCATTGGGAAACAACTGGCTTTCCATCAAACCAACACAAGGTCCAACGACCTTTTGTGCTCATTCGGGGGGCTTTAACCCACTTATGTCAGGTTTGATCTATTATCCTCAGGTACAGACAGTGTAGGGGATTCGGCGGTTATTAGTCTTGCTGTTTCCGGGGCCTGTCAAGCCCATGTCAAACATGCTTAGCTACGCATGCTACACAAAGAACTCGGGGTGGCTAGCTGGACCTTTTGCTCGGGGCTTGGAGCAGCCAGGGAAAGAAGCCCAATCTCTCCGTAAGATTCCCATTTCCTTTTGGGGAGGCAAAACAAGTCTTACCATGGCTCGTGCTCGAGGTCACGCAAGGTGCAGCGAGTTCCCACGGCAGCGGCTGCGACGGCGCTTTGGTGTCAGTGCCGGCCTCAACCGAGACGCGTCTTCTCGGGCCGAGATGTCCCGCGGTCTCTTGGTTGCCAGATTTAGAAGCGGGAAGGGAAGCTTGGCTTCCAAGAGCTCTGAAAAGGCCCTTCCAGGTTTGGGGGCTCAGCTTTGACGAGCCATTTTTTGGTCCAAAAAGAAGGTGTAGGCCTTGTCAGGTCCCTTTTGTTTTGGGCAAAACACAACCCCACATAGAGCACGCTCGAACCAAAGGAGGTGCCAACCTGTGAAAGGCTGATCCCAAACACGCTCTTGTGCCGAGGTCCGGTCTTGCAACACGCACTCCTGCAGCCAGGTGCTTTCGACCCGTTTGGATCGAGGGGCGTGTTTTGAGCCAACGACAAAGAAATGGAACCCCCAAATCCGCTGAAGTACTCTTTTCTATTTGTAGGGGATGCCAAAAGTGTGCTTGAAAGTCTATTGACCATAGGGGTGTCTCACAGTACCAGACACTGCTTTCAAGATTAACAGGTGAACAGGCTGTTCTTGCTGGAACAGATGCCATGTTTCCGGGAGCCTCTTTCAAGCGGTTCATGTTCACGGTTCATGTTCCGCAGAACTGCCACCCTGTGGACTGCAAATGGGCCAAGTGGAGCGAGTGGAGTGTCGGGAAGCCCAGGACAGAGGGGTCTGCCGGGTAGGGGATTCCAACTCGTTCCATTTGGCCATGGGTCAAAACCCCGTACCCCCAGCACTAAAATAGGTTCTAAAACGGGTGGTGCACCTATCCCAAAATTGTACCATTGGTTTTGAACCATGGCCATTGTGGAAGTGTTCTGAACTTTGCAGATGAGGTAGCCTCTTGAGGCCACTCTTTTCCAGCCGCCGCTACCTTTTTTGGCGGCTGGTTTTTCGGACCAAGTGTCACCAAGATCACCTATTTGCACTTTAAACTAGCCTTTTGGCTTTCCTTGCGGAATTTTATTCGGGTAAAAGTGAGCTTTGTGTACTCGATCCAGGTTCCTGCAGAATCGTCGACGCGCCACCACCCTTTGTGTGGGTTTTGGGTGTGGATCAAATCCCATGACTGCGACAAATCACGTACCAACGGGTGCGATTTTGTTGTTTCATCAACCTCAAGGTTGACCCGAATTTCACGGATTCTGCCCTCAGGGTTAGGGCTGTATATGGCCCCTTTTGCCTCAAAGCTGAACCACTCTGATGCCCTTTGCCCCTCAGATATCAGGACCCGACCTGGTATCTTCTTTTACTAAAGAAGGCGTCACAAAGCGACACAAGACTTGGCGTTTTCCAGCCCTTCCCTCACTTTAGAGTTTAGAGTCGGATTTATGACATATCCGCACTAGTTCAGTTTGGCAAGGACCAAACCACTAAGATGCTTTTGTTCAATCAAGACAAGCTCCGTTCTCCTGAGCCGGCCACCAACCCAGGCTTTCAGGCCAACAGGGGCGCTTTGGTGGCCCACTGACCCAAGTCTGGTTGTGGTCAATCATGAAGTCAAATGAAATCGCCTTTTTCTTTCCCGAGGGCACCTTTGTTTGGTTGGTTTAAAGGGAAGGCAGAAGGACTACCCGTTTTGCGGTTCCATAATTTTGACATGAACCCATGTCTGTGATATTTTTGATTCGCGCCTTTCTGAGGTAGCCCACCGCAAAGCATCCCCAAACCCAATAAACGAACCTCCTAAGGTTGCTTCATGTTCTATCACCCGCAACCATCTTTTTACTTTGGCCCAAGTCACATGATTCCAGCCTTGAGCCAACAACCCGAAATCAATTCTTAAAGGCCAGGCAGAACAGCTCCATGGAGCGAAGCTTAAAGCAGATGTTTCAGTTGTTTTTTTGTTGGAAGGCAGATGAGTGAAGTTGGACCCCTCAACTGGTTGCCTGTTTTAGTTTATCTTTGAACCATTGGGTACCCTCAAAGAACAACACACTTTGAGACAGCGATTTCCAGTCGGGAAACATCTGTCTTGCCCGTGCTGCACCTCGCACTTTTCTGGTGACGTTGATGGTTCTGCCTATATGACGGGCTCACATCTTGCAGGTCCTTCTGTTGGGCCATTGATCCCGTACAGGTTTGAACGTGCAGATTTGGCACATTTGGCCAAAAGGGCCAAATAGAATCCCAGAAGCCGTTCGTAGAGTCCGGAGACTTTTTTTTATTGGGAGGGGGAGTTGAGTCATCTGCTGGACTTTACGGTAAGGCCGGCGAGGCATTTGCCAGCCTGGGCTTTGAACCACTAGGCAAGGGTTTTGACTCGGACATCCCCGCCCCCTTAAAGATAGAATTGGGGGAGGGGGGTGACCCCTGGAATTCCATTTATAGTTCCATTTTCCCTTTCATGGGGAAGACTAGATAAATGGAATCGGGGGACCCCCTACCCCCTCCCCCCTAAGGTAGGGGGGATACTCGGACTTGGGGTTTCACTTTATTGCCAGACTTCTCTAACCTCTTTGCACTTGTGGTTTATTGCTGGTTTGCCCTTGTTTTCCTTTGTGCCTTTTGCTTTTGCATGTTTGCCCTTTTGGGTTTCCTTGCCTTCCCCGAGGTTTTGTTTGTTCGCTTCGCAGTCTGGCCGTAATTCCAAGGCCTGCAGCAAGTGTGCTGGCCAGAAGACTCGGACACGCCGAGTGGCCAGGCACGACCGAAACTCGGGGCTCCATGAAACTCGGGGATTCCGAAGGTCCAGCCAAATTTTGAAAGGCCCCGGGTCCAACCATGAACATCATTCGCCGTAAGTGGGTAAGATCGGATGCCCCCCATTGTTAGGGGCCCCCGCTCTTGCAACGGACGCCTTCCTTGGGCCTTGGGAGAGGTCTATGAACACATTCCGCCAGTTCCCATCCCTCTTGTTTGGACCCTTGTGCGGGCGGCTTGACCAGACAGAAATTCGTTGCACACTGCACATGTGCATTACGTTACACTTGTTTGGCCGAGCAGATGTCTGAGATGTCTGAGCCATTCTGCAGCATTGGCTCTGGCAGTCAGAAGGCAAGTGGATAGCTCACTCCTTCCCATCTCTCTCCGGCATGTCGGCCCCCAGGCAGGTGCAGATGGACTCCATCGACGAGACTAAGGTCGTGGTGTACTCTTCCTGTTGCTGCTGCTACAGCGGGTGCCTGCCGGAGATTGCGGGAGTTGGATGTGCCGCTCAGGAGACGCTCCTTTGCTTGGAGGCAGATATTTGCTGCAAGCTGGGCACATCACCGCTGTGCTGTGGCTGCTGCGCGATCCGCTGCACCGACATCACCACGTGCTGCAAGACTCAGGGCCAGTGCTGCTGTCTGGTGAGCGGCTCTGCGTTGCCTCCTGACGCAGAGGTGCCTTGCATGCTGAGCGTTTGCTTCCTCACTTGCTTCCCGAAGCCCGGCTGCTGCGTGCGGCTGGGCGATGTCAAGGGAGGAAATTGAGTCTCTGAGCGAACCCATCGTGACGGATCATGATGGATCGTCGTGCTTGCAGTGTTGGTCTTTGAAACAAGACCAGTGCAGACTTGACTCTGTAGCCTTTAGTAGGCCGATGCATTTAATTCAATTCAGATCGGGCCAACAACCCCATTGCAAGCTAGCAGATTTTGATATGAGGCAGCGATGCCTGCTTACGTTGTACCTTTTGTTTGGATGAGAAGTCCCCTTTGAATCTTGAGCTTTTGCAATGTCCGAATTGAGATGACTCGTGTAAAGCGGACCGTGCAACATCGTGCGATCGCAGGACAAGTAGCGTTTGGGTTTCGATCACTTGGCATAATGCACTTGTCGAGGCTTGTGAAAGGCAGCATGAACCCTGAAGCGTTGGCTCAGGTAGTCGAAAGGCAAGGACGCAGCTCAGTCCTTCCCATCTCTCTCCAGCATGTCGGCCCCCAGGCAGGTGCAGATGGACTCCATCGACGAGACTAAGGTCGTGGTGTACTCTTCCTGTTGCTGCTGCTACAGCGGGTGCCTGCCGGAGATTGCGGGAGTTGGATGTGCCGCTCAGGAGACGCTCCTTTGCTTGGAGGCAGATATTTGCTGCAAGCTGGGCACATCACCGCTGTGCTGTGGCTGCTGCGCGATCCGCTGCACCGACATCACCACGTGCTGCAAGACTCAGGGCCAGTGCTGCTGTCTGGTGAGCGGCTCTGCGTTGCCTCCTGACGCAGAGGTGCCTTGCATGCTGAGCGTTTGCTTCCTCACTTGCTTCCCGAAGCCCGGCTGCTGCGTGCGGCTGGGCGATGTCAAGGGAGGAAATTGAGTCTCTGAGCGAACCCATCGTGACGGATCATGATGGATCGTCGTGCTTGCAGTGTTGGTCTTTGAAACAAGACCAGTGCAGACTTGACTCTGTAGCCTTTAGTAGGCCGATGCATTTAATTCAATTCAGATCGGGCCAACAACCTGATTGCAAGGTAGCAGTTTTGAAATGTGGCAGCGATGCCTGCTTACGTTGTACATTTCTCTTGAATGGGAAGTCCCCTTCCTAGGCACGACGTGCAAGATGTGAGAAGGAGCCTTTGCATGAAATGTTGACGGCGGCGACGTAGTAGTCACTCTCATGCTTGACTTTGTCCCGAACCGACTTCCAGTAGGAACATGCCTGTGCTAGTCACATCATTGCCCTGGAACCCGTTTTCCAACATGAGATGACTTGTGTTCAAGACGCGCCCCTTTTCCGTGTGCTTCAAACTTGCCCACGTCAGGTGCCCAGGCTTCATGTTCGTCGAATCGTGAGCGTTTGCCATGTCAATTGCTCTTGTGACCCGGATGTAATTCATTGTAATTCACATGAACCGGACATGTTGGATTAGGCTACCTTCCAACATGGAGCCTGACAGCTTGCTGGAAGATGTTCTACTTGCTGGTGCTCAGCATAGAATGAGACCATCCAACTTGCTGGTGGTTTCCTTCAAGAGGACCTGTGAGGGAATGACCCCTAGAAAAACCATCCAACTGGCGGTTTCCTTGGACCAACGCCTGGGTTCATTCAACCACATCCCCTACCTATCGCACTGATCCTTCCATTTGCTTAAGAATATATATATATATGTATATGTAGAGATATGTATTTATTTTCCCCTGTTGGCTTTAAAGGGAATCTATCACTACTGGACTTTTTTTTTCTTCCAGGGGTCTTCCCCAAATGGAAGGATCGCAGTTGGTTTTTTGATCCGCTGGTGCATGGCCACGAGCCGGAGTCGTCTCCGTCAGGACGCCCGAGTGTGGCGGCAGGCGCTGCGAGGCGCAACTTAGACCCCAGAGAACTCCAGGCGAATTGAGGTGGGAGCCACAGCAAAATGTGCATAGTTTGGGGACGCAACATGAACCAAAAACTTATATATATGTATAATACATATATATATATGTTTCTTGTGTTTTTTTTGTCTGCGTGATTACCCCAGATGTAGGCCAGGGGACTAACCCCAGTTACCCCAGATAGACATCAATGGTTGTGGCTACTGAAGTATGCGATGACCATGGTTTGTACCGGGGACGAACCCCAGTTGCCCAGTTGCCAGGGTGAAGCAACAGTTGCAATCAACCTGCTCACGGTGCTTGAACATCCAAAGGCCAACAAAGTCTTTCGATTCGGATTGTAATGAAGAGGCTCAGCTACAGAGGCAACCTCACCCTAACGGAGAAGTCATGAGGCCCTTTGCAGGCCCTCGATTGGTATCGCAGTGGTTGCAATGTCCATAAAGGGGGATTGACGAGTACGTTAACAACATGAGTCATGATTTTTGGGAGACGAGTTTTCGGTGGCATCGCCCCTGAAGTTATGGTAGCCCCATAAAAGCAGGCTGCATTCGGGGATTCAGGGGTGGGGGGGGGGTCTCTGTCATTCCGGCCCAAGGCCCTTCTTTCCAAGTCATAGCAGCATTGCTCACGAGATAGGGAAAAAGGCAATAGCTGTCCGTGCTTGCACGGGAATCAATCAGGATAGAGATCACCCCAGGACATAGTCCAAGGTTCCTCAGCCATCAACACAAGACTTTTCCTTGCATTCTCAGAACAGATCCAGGGACATAAGTGCACCGTGACACAACCAGGGTTCTAGCCCCCTTAGTACCAGGTAATAACGTTCGTCCCGCTAGCAGCAAAATGCTTCACACAGCAGCTTGTCTGCATTGCATACCTCTTGACTATGCTACCGTGGAGAAAATCGGTTTCGGACAGTTGGCGCCAGATGTTTCGAAACCAGCTCCACTTGGCATGAACTCACCATTCGACCCGCGCTGTCATCAATTTTTGTTTGGTCCACATTTGCAAGCACGAGAGCAACATCTGCAAAATACACGGCTGTTACGATGCTCATTTTCGGGGGTTGCCTTGAAAGAAGCAACACATGTGAATTTGGAGCAGCCCAAAATAAGAAATAAAATCGTTGAGGCGGATTCTCACATTGGAAGCAGCCCTCACACGAGCTTACCTTCGATGGTCTTTGGACTCTCTCGCTTCAGGTTTATGAGCTACTCTTTTCTCTTTGGTCCGCTTTCTCGCGGACATGTTCGAAGCGGGCAAGGTTTGTGACATATGGCCAGGAACGGGTTTTGGGGTCGATTGAAAACCCAAAAGACACCGCCCTGTCCTTCCTTTAGAGCGACAAATCCCAAAAATGGGAACCAGCAAGCCAGCAAACTTGTGCAGTAAATGTGCTTGGCGCGCTTCCTGTGCAGTTTCCTGGTTCGCTGGCGTGTATGTTGTTTGTTCAATGGAACCAGAGCCCAACTTGAAACGGTTCTCATTTCAGAGACACACCCTACTCTTTTTGCGGTTTGGGCAAGTTTGCTTTTGGTTGGGTTTCTTGTTCTGCTTGGTGTGTTTTTTGTTTTTTTTGAGGGTACCCCTTTTTGGATAGTTTGAAACGGAAACCGCAAGGAAAAGCCCACCATTTGGGAGGCCCCCTACGAAAAGACAGCCGTTGGCTTGGTTACCAGGTTTGGATTGGTTTGATGAGCATGGTTTCTTGGTCGGTTTGCTTTCCATGCCTTAAGCCACTTACAGCGCGCAGTCTTGGTCTTGGGTACTACCAAGCCGCAGTCCCTTTCAAGGTGTTTTGCGTCATGAGCTTGGGTCGGAATCCCGGTTCATTTCAAGAAGAAAAAAACGGCGATCTTTCGCAACACATGAGCACGGGAATCCCGGTTTCTCGGCAGGAGCGGCCGTTTTTCGCTTGAGCCAAGGAATCAAAGGACGGTTGGTCCCATGGCCACAGAGGTCTGAGAGGGACCGACCGGCCGTCAGGCGGGAGATGCGGAGCAGGTGGCCAAGTGCCCACGGAACTGCCACTCAGATCCCGTCTGCGCCCGGAAGCCCGGGTCCCATGAAAAGGATTTCTAAGTCGAGCAAGGGGTGGGGGGGGGTGGGGTGGGGGGGGGGGATGGGGGTGGGTGGGGGGAGGGGGTGGGGGGGGTCGGGGTGGGGGTGGGGGGTTGGAAACATGTTTCTTTTTGGATGCCGATTTACAATGAGCTTCCTGTCGTGCAAAAGGACATGCTTGTGAATCTGATGTTTGAGCCCCAACAGCAGACCAAGAATCAAGGATTGGATCAACCGAACCTCCCTGTTAATCACCACTACTTTCAAAGATCACCCCACCGCTCCCCTAACCCGCCCGAAAGTTCCTGGTTTCCATGAGGCCGCAAGTTAGGGTCTTACTTGAATTGGAGAAACCGGGGGATGGGGGTGGGGGGTTGGACCGGGGGAATGGTGTCATGGATCGGACTGGCTGATGGATTGAGTTCGTTCCCAATAAGGAAGCCCTTGTCCTACCCTGGGTATGTAAGCCGGGATAATAAGTCAAGGAATTGTTGGGTCGGGTTGACAACTTGAATCACCCTGTTTCCTGTGATGAAAGACGGTGAACTGGATATTTGTGGAAGACTCCGCTCTTGAAAAGGCCCCACATCCACTTCCATGATTGTAGCAACGAAGACCAAAACAGGCCACATGTCACTTTGGCCCCCGCTTGGATGTACCAATGCCAGCTAAGTCGGTTACAACCATGGCAACTGCGGAGACCTGGGGTTAGTGCCGGGCAAAAAGCCATGGTTAGAAGTTACAACACACGAAGTAGCTTGAACACCCAAGCAGGGTCCATTGACATGTGGACAAAAGCCACATTGGATAAAACCGATCAACCCAACTGACTGCTAGATATTTTGTCCAGGTGTCGCCATACACGACTCCCTCCGTGCACCGAAAAGGGATGTCTCTCTCCGGAAGAATCCGCGGAACTCGCACGCGGCGCTCAGATGTGGTCGGACTGGTCTGCCTTCAGCCCCTGCTCCAGAACCTGCGGCTGCGGGCGTAAAAAGCGCTAGGAGCTCAGCGGGTGGGTTGGGTTGGGTTGGGTTGGGTTGGTTGGTTGGTTTGGTGGCTGGCTGGCTGGCTGGCTGGCTGGCTGGTTGGTTGGTTGCTTGGTTGGTTGGTTGGTT